AGTAAACAGGGAACAAGCAGGAAGTAAACAGGGAACAAGCAGGAAGTAAACAGGGAACAAGCAGGAAGTAAACAGGGAACAAGCAGGAAGTAAACAGGGAACAAGCAGGAAGTAAACAGGAGACAATCAGGAAGTAAACAGGAGACAATCAGGAAGTAAACAGGAGACTAGCAGGAAGTAAACAGGGGACAAGCAGGAAGTAAACAACTGAATAAATTAAATGATGGGTGGGACACAAACAGCTTCACAGGAAGTGAGTCATCGGCTGTTGTGATGTCATTACAGGGCACTCGGAATGGGCGGGACCAGAGGACGGATCTACATCAAACACGCCGACCTGTTCAAGGTAAAACCTGCTAACATCACCTGGTCAGGTGTAGAAATAAGCACGAAGGGAAGGGTTAAGCTGTTTATTCTGTTGTTACACACCTGTTGTTACACACCTGTTGTTACACACCTGCTGGATTTATAAACAAAGCTGTGACAGGAAGGGTGAGGGTTACACATGTTCACTTCCTGTCTGAGTTCTGTAGGTGTGTGTAATTTGCAAGGAGTGTGACGTGTGTGTGTGTGTGTGTGTGTGTGTGTGTGTGTGTGTCAGTATGCAGCAGATGCAAAGGATAAGCAGTGGTTAGCAGAGAGACATCACATGAGGGCGACAGGAGGAAAGATGGTGAGACTGCACATCTCACTGATAACTGTTGATCACATGACCTCACACTGTGTGTGTGTGTGTGTGTGTGTGTGTGTGTGTGTGTGTGTGTGTGTGTGTGTGTGTGTGTATCCTGCAGGCCTACCTGCTGATTGAAGAGGACATTCAGGACCTGGCTTGCAGTGATGAGTACAGGTAAGTTAGTCCAAATATCTGGATCCAGCTGCACCAAAACATCCCAACAAGTTATCATGGAAGCTTCAGGATATTTGAGTTTTATTTGTTTATACATGTTTACAATAGAATAGAATAGAATAGAATAGAATAGAATAGAATAGAATAGAAGCAGCCTTTATTGTCCTGCAGTGTAAATCCAGGTGTCACAGCAGCATCAGTACAGAGGTCGACACATGACTTACTTTACAGACTATAGATAGTACACACAACAAAATTAACACTGACTAGTCATGATACAACTATTAATAATAAAAATATAATATAAAAGTAAAAAAATATATTTTAGTCAGAATTAGCCTGTTTTCAGTACAAACCAATCAGCAGAGTATTAACTGTAAAGTCTGACC